CCCCAAAACCCCAAAACCCCAAAACCCCAAAACCCCTCTTTGAGATATCTTGTTGAATTAAGGTTATCTGAAGTCCCTAGTTAGGACCCTCCATCCTTCTGGAAGTTGTCTAATTTATCCTTGAACGTTTTATTAGTCTCTATTCATGTCTTTAGCACGTTATATTCCTGTACGAAATTTTCGAGATTTTTGAACTGAGTGTTAATCAAGAGGTCTTGTTTGGGAGAAACTCTAGGAATCCTTCCGACTTTTCCAGGTAGGAAAGCAGGCTGCCCTTTAACTCCCATCTGAAGGTCTGTAGCTCTGATGAAGCTCTCGAATATGCTGACAAGTTCATTACTGTTCTCATTGATGTACTTATTTTGATCTTTAAGTCAATTTATGTCTTCGCGAAGTTTTTCATTCCTGAGACGCTCTTTGATGAGTTTGTCAGCAACTTCATTATACTTGGAAATTGGGACGAAATCTCTGGAATTAGGGATATATTTCTCAAAGTTTATCTTGTTGTACCTCTCAACTCTTTTATCAACCTTATAAACTGTCTTCTTTGCTGGTTGGCTTGTGAGTAAGGAGTTATACTTTTCCTGAAGAGTTGAAAGATTTGTCTTGAGCATTTCAAAATCAACCAATTTCTCTTGTAAAGCAGCTATTTCATCATGTAGCATCTTGACTTCTTCGCTGTGGCTCCATGTAACGTGTTGGACTAAATTATTACTCTAAGATTCTACCAAAATTTGAAGAATTTGTGAAGTTGAGCCTGCCGACTGCTGACCGTAGGATTTTGTGGCTCTTTCTGATTTCAAGATTATTCTTGTATTCAGCAAATAGGTTATTTTCCCTCTGCGATAACAGTCTAATACTGAGAGGAAATTTTTACCTCTATTGGATCTTGGTTATCAACCGATAGAAACACGTTTGTCTGATTCAGGTCGATAGAGGATTTAGAGTTCAAGTTGAAGGTAGCAGTCTGGGCTCAGTCCAAGATGCTCTTGGGCTGCACCCTTGATTTTGAATTTGAATTTGTAAGATTATTTTCGCATATAATATTGGGATGGAGAATCAATTCCAGTGTCTAACTTCCCTGATTTGATCATCTTCCCTGATAAAGAGAGCTGTGAAGGAACTAAATATAGTTTATAATATTACCTGTGATTCCTTTCCGCAGACTTGGCATACATGAGCCTGGCTGATCCACGTATTCCCGGTTTGGGCTGATCCCTCTCGAGTCTCCTCGGGTGTTAATTTCTGGTAGTCTTTGAGCTGAGTTATCTTTAATATATGTTTTTGTCGCATCAATGGGTAATGTATTATCTCTTTCTTTCCTAAGATATGAGGGATATTCCTACTTTATTTTCCTCTGAGGGAAATTATGGTTAGCAAAATTAATATGTTCGAACTCTATAGACCTGAGGCCGCCGTATTTGGTAGAGTAATGCTTCGATAACTTCTTGTTATACTCGCTGATGGCTTTAGTCTGCTTGACTCTTTTGTTCTATATGGCATAGCTAAACTCTTGGTGGCTCCAAAAATCTGAGACCAGATCATGGCTAGAGAACTTACAGTGAATTGGCGGTATTTTCGTGGGACTTCCAAGCGCAGATTGGTAACTTTAACTTCTTCGTTGGTGTTCTTTTGCATTTTTAAATAAAATTTATATGCACTGAGAAACACTGGTGATTCTTGGGGTTTTGGGGTTTTGGGGTTTTGGGGTTTTGGGG